AATCTACAATTTACTTCCCAATCCCACTATTTTATTCATCTTTAACTTTGTGAAATATTGTGATATAATTTCAAATTATATATAATTATTAAAATTAATTAAATATATTCAACTAATTTAAATTAGTAAGATATATTTCGCCTTCTCAGAAAGACGACCGAGCCTACAACTATAAAGCAAGTCAATAAAACCACTAAGAGCTTGCTGCCACTAGCCAGTCAATAACGAGTCTTCGGCCCTGACTCAGCTTGCCGCCTATATATAATTAATACAACTCTGTCTCTTTATTTAAAAAACAAAAACACAGGATTCAGGGCAAAAAATTATGCAGATGAAATTGTTGTTGTGGATGGTGGTGATGATGGTCATATTGCCATCTTCTACCGTTACAGCAAGTTCAAATATTTCTTTAGAAAACTGCCCACGAACATGTGGAAGCGTTAGCGTTCCTTTCCCTTTTGGATTTGGCCGTACTGAATGCGCCAAGAATGATTCCTTCCTGCTTGAATGCAACAAGACCGGCAGCCTCTTGTTTGGCGACATTTCAATTTCCGATATATCATTGGAAAACGGCACCATCACCGGACTCGTAAATTCCTCTGCCTACCGGTGCTGGCTCGAGGACGGTAGTGACTGGATATTTAGAGATGGGAATATCGCATTCAACAAACCATCCAACAAATTGGCTTTCATCATATCCCCCATCCACAACAAGTTTGTTGGCTTGGGCTGCGACACGGTGGCCTTCATAGCAGGCGACTACGGAACAACGTTCGCAAGTGGGTGCTACGCCTTCTGCACTAACGTTACCTAACTCAGGAGCGACGATTCGTGCTCCGGCATCGGATGCTGCCAGATCTCCATCCCCAAGCACCTCCACCTCCAGCAATTGGGCATTTCGGCTAACAGTTGGTTTAAGCAAAAAAATGTTTTCGCTTTCAACCGCTGCAATTATGCTTTTACGGTTGCAAATTCCTTTGATATACCGAACGTAAACTTCCTTGATCACCCGTCTACTCAACCATTACTGCCCGTGGTGTTTGAATGGGCGATCGGAGATCAGTACGGCTGCCAAGATTATTGCGGCCCTAGCACTAACTGCTCTTACTCCGCCACTGGTGGTGGATTCCGTTGTTCGTGCTTGCACGGGTTCATCGGAAATCCCTATCTCCCACAAGGATGTCAAGGTAGATATTTACAACTAATGTTTTTTATGCATATACTATCCTGTTTAATTTTAATAACTCTATTAATTTTGTTAATAAAACAGAAATATAATAATTTATTAAGAAAAAATTTTATATTTATTTTTAATTAAATATCATTTAAATAAAAATTTTTATTTAATATTTGTTGTAATTATATTTTTAAAATAATGATAAAATAAA